ATTTTACGGAGACTTGCCACGGTCTCCAACCCTCCTCCTTTCTCATCCGGGCTTGGGACCGGCAATGGCGCGCCAGAGCGGTTATTTGCTGCCAGTTCTCATCGTTGCCCGTGGCCACAGTTCCTGATTTAGAATTTCTCTTGAAAAGTCGACTTTCGAAAAAAGGTGCCCAACGGCGATGTTCCTCAGCCAAAAGTTGCTTTTTATCTTGTGCAGTGTTTTCTTGGAGTTCGTCGTAAACTGGGCTGATGTTGCGTCAGAACCAATTTCATCTACCCCCGTCGTCGTAGCTGGAGCCGATGTTGCGTCTGAACCAACCTCAACTGCTCCTGAGGTCGCAAAAGGGGCTGAAATTACGTCCAAACCAACTGTATTTACTTCTGTCGACGCATCGTCTGTCCGAAGATTGAGGGCAGGATTTAGTGCAAAAACAGTGATACTTGCCTAATGCCGCCAGACGCGAAAACAATCTCTTTGAGTTGTTCGACTATTCTCTTATGGTCCTGCGATGACCCCGCTTCTAATATTCAATGAATGGTGCAAGGTAAGGAGAGCTGTTGTCAGTAAAATCATTTACAGCTTCAGGAATATCTGAAATGAGACATTTACTGTGCACTCGTATATTTTCTTCTTTGTGGTAAGCTTTTTTTGAATGAAGCGCCTGAATTTTGCCTTTGCGCATTAGCGATTGTGTCATTCTGTCGGCGCTCACTTTTCAGAATAAATAGCTCGTAATTGCGGTAGTTTGAGGACGCCATATCAGATACTAAAAGATAGATTACGATGTTGTTTCCATGGCAAGGCCGCATCGCATGGCAGCGACCAGAGGGCAAACTGGAGTACACTGAATATGCGGCATATGTCCTATATAAAGCAATCTAGGACAAGACAGGGGTCACTGGATACAGTACTTGAGGTTCATGTCCCTGCAACGCGAAAAGAATGGCCATCACTGGCACTCGATTGAGGCGAAGCGTGTTTCATATCGAAGGTAAGATGCACAAAATCAGATAAGTCTGTCTAGAGGGTCTTTCGATCGTCTTGCTGTTGAAAGATGACAATAATCGGGGGAAGTTCCACTAGAAACCGTGCCAATATTTGCAATTTTTCAAACGAGATTTTCTTTAACGTGATTTTAAGTTTAAAATTAACCAACGTTAGTTTACGTCACGAAGACAAGAGATGTTTAAACCGAGATATGTGAGCTGGAGTCAAAGTGTAAGCAAGTTTGATTTTGGCTGGACGGTGCGAAAACGAAAGCGATTGAAAACGAATTCACACAAGCGGCTACAGTAATCATCAATGATTGCAAAATGGAAGTCACCGAGTTTGTCTGCATGAGACAGCTAATCAACTCAGATCACTCCTTTGTCTCCGAGCTAGGTTCAAAGTGCCGCGTGGCGTCGAGCATTATGGCAAAAACGCTGGGATTCTGGAAAACAAAATTTAGCAGTATCAGTTAGACTTACTGTACATGAAAGCACAGTATTGCCAAAAGTCTAGAGACCTGGACATTAACGACTGACATTAAAGAACTGGCTCATGCGGATGTACATCAGATGTATATCTCTACATCGGCGATAGCCTTGGTGTTCAGCCTTTGCTTCTCCAGATTGAGAAGTCACAGCTGCGATGTTTTGTGCATGTGTTGCGAATGTCTCCAGAAAGGAAGGCTAAGCAACTGTTCCTTGCAAATCCGACCGACAAAAGGCCCGGGGGACAGCGAAGATTAACCTGTTGCAAACATATGGAAGGAGTCTGTTCCAGACTGCATTTGTCTTTTGCCGAAGCACAGACTCTGGCACAAATTAGTGAGCGTTGGAAGCTCTGTCTAGCGCATCTGCCTCTGCCAACCGAAAGGAGAAGCGGCCATGGAAGATGATGAAAATGACTGATGAACTGTTAAGAATGCAGCAGCGGGTTATGAAAAGAAAGGCGCTTATAGTTTACATCAATGACAAGCTACGAAACGAAATAATGAAAAAAATTCTCAGGAATGCAAAACTCTGTATCGGTCGAGAGGAAACAGTGATGAGCAGGTCTCTTCGCATGACTGAGGATTGATGGTGGACTTCAACGGTAACAAACAGGTACCCATTTGGAAATCCCCGGCTGAGATGGCACGATGAGCGAAGCAGGTTATATGGAAGCTTGTGGTGATAAATCACACACGATACAGATGAGCGTAGGCATCGAGACTAGGCAATGGTCATGGTTGTAAATAACGGAACAGGTTCATTCAAGAATGCCCAGCTTGCCTCAATGCTACGGTAAAGAGTGACTTGACATGACATAACTCATGGAGTCATCTTACTTCTAGAGGACCTGGAGGGTAGTTTAAGCAGCCTGCCGCTCCACAGGATGTGAACAGCTGCGAAGCGTCGATGAACA